TGATGTGTAGACTGAGAGCTATAAACATAAATGTTGAATTTATTTGATCTGGCTATTAAGGGACAAATAGATAGTATCTTGATCTTAACTTTATTATATGAATAAGAGCCACTAACAACAACAAAATTAAATTAATCAAGACATACCTGTGGGTTTCGGAAGTGGAATTCCTTCTGATCTTTTGGCACCCCTCGATAGGAGAGCCACTCTTCATGGACCTGAGATCCAGGGAGATCAGGTGCTTCAGGTTCCAGTTTGCAGAAATAAGTGGCAGAAGCGGAACGATCCCTGAAAAGAATGCAAATGCAGACAGTGGGAATGGAGGCAGAACTTGGAAAAGTTACCTTTTTTGAATGATGAAAAGGAAGTAGAGAGGGGAAGAAAAAATGTGGCAGCATCTTTAAGACTAACTGGTTTTTATTTTAGCGTGAGCTTTCATGGATATAAACCCACTTCTTCTGATGGCAGTACAGAGTGGTATTAAGGTCTCTGGTTATAAAGCATATTAATACAGTTGTGAGAGTGGGATAGAATATAACAGGATCCAGAAAGATGCCAATCATGTCCCTTGCCCTAATTTTTCAAAGGGCTGGACAAGGTAAAGATCTGAAAGAACTGTATCACCTTCTCCATCCCTTTGAATATTTAGGGCAGGGGACATTTTGGGCATCTTTCTGGATCCCATTACATTCTATTCCACACCCAGAACTGTTTAAATATGCTTTAAAACCTAAAGCCTTAACACCACTCAGTAATGCATCAAAAGAAGTGGGTTTATATCAATGAAAGCTCATGCTAAAATAAAAACCAGTTAGTCTTAAAGATGCTGCCACATTACGGTACTTTTTTTCCTTCCCCTCCCTTCCTCCTTTTTATGCTGTAAGAGACTAATAACACAGCTACTTCTTAAACAACTTTTTTGGATGACAATTTGCAAACCCCTCATTCAGTATGTTGGCCATGGAACCCTGTGAGTTCTAGTTTTAAAAAAGTATTTTTTTAAAAAAAACTGAGGGAGAACATTATACAGATCCCTCTCCCCTTTCTACTACTTCATTATTTTTTTAAAAATACGGTAATAAATCAATGATCAGGCTCTAATTTTACTGATCTAACTCACCTGTGTTCAAGCGCCATCACCAAAAACCCACGGGAAGCCATTTCGATACAGATGGCGGAGTAGAGAGTCCTGAAAGTTGGGAAGGTAAAGCAGGGTTAAACTAAGACATTTTGTTGCCTGAAATAGAATAGTAAATAGTGTACCCCTGTACACCCACAACAAGGTGTGCAGTTTCCAAACCCAGGCAAGGCATTTTGCAAAATGGGGTATGAAATCACACAAATGTTGTCCATCCTGGCCCTGGATTTTAAACATTAAACTCTTAAAAGTCTGTGTTGGAACCCTTGTGGGTGTTTCGGCTGAATGAAGCTTCCCATCTCTTTTTTTCTCCTAGAGAAGTGTCTTGCCTTTAATATCTCTTTGGCAAGCTGATAATAACTATGACAATTCAGACTTTCCAGAGCAGACAGGAGATAATTTTGTTCAGTTTCTTTCTATTAGAAGCATACCAGAATTTATACATTTCTTCATAGTCAGGATGGAAATAAAGTTTCAACTTTTAAGTTATTATTATTATTATTTCCACCTTTTCCCCTGTTTTGGAAAAAGTTGAGTTCAGGACTCAAGGCAGATTACAACACTTAAAAACAAACATAGATAAAAGCATGTTCTTTAATCAGAGGCTGGATGGCCATCTGTCAGGGATGCTTTGATTGGGAGTTCCTGCATGGCAGGGGGTTGGACTGGATGGCCCTTGTGGTCTCTTCCAACTCTATGATTTTATGATTCTATGTTGTTGTGTGCCTTCAAGCCATTCCTGACTTAAGACAAACCTAAGGCGATCCTATCATGGGGTTTTCTTGCCAAGTTTATTCGGAAGTGCTTTGCCATTGCCATTCTCTGAGACTGAAAGAGTGTGACTTGCACAAGGTCACCCAGTGGTTTTACATGGCTTAGCTGGGATTCGAACCCTGGTCTCCAGAGTCATAGTCCAATGATCAAACCAGTACACCATACTGGCGCATAGATGAAAGCATATAGAAGTTTAAAAAACCCCACAACAAATTAATACACACACACAACAGCAAAACAAAAAAATCCAGCATGTTATACAAGGCCCTTTCCTCCCTGAAAACTCAATTTTCAAAGGCTTCTTGGAAAAAAAAGGATTTAATCTGCCTGTAGAAAGACAGTAAGGAGGGTGCAAGTCTAATGTGTCTGGGAAGGGAGTTCCAGAGCCCAGAAGCAGCTACTCTAAGGACCCTCTCCCATGTTCCCACCAAGTTTTTAAAGTTCAAAGATGGGAAAAAGCAAAATTGACATAAAGCTGGTCTTCCCTATCCACAGATTCTTTATGCACGGATTCAACCATCCATGGTTTGAAAATATTTTTAAAAAAATTATAAATTCCAAAAAGGAAATCTCAATCTTGCTATTTTATGTAAGGGACATCATTTCACTATGCCACTGTATGACATGGGACTTGTGCATCCACGGATTTTGTTATCCACGGTGTGTGTGTGTGCGTGTCCGTGTCCTGGAACCAAACCTCAGCGGATTTCAAGAGCCAACTGTGTATTTCCCCATCCTTAGCTATAAGTATATTATTTTGGATTCAAATCCCCGCTCAGCCACGGAAACATATTGGATGACTTTGGACAAATTACATTTTCTTCATCTAAGACAAAGGCAATGTTAAAGCTCCTCAGAATAAATCCTGCTAAAAAAAGAAAACACCATTAAGATGGGGCCACTGTAAGTCAGAATTGACTTGAAATCATTAATGACAACAATCACAATATGCACAGCATATACCTATCTATCTATCTATGAATGAGAATGTCCTCAGCACCACCCCAAAAACCCTTAAACCCCTGCCCTCCACAATTTGCTTGCGACTGTTTAATATCCAAATAATAATAATAACAATAATAATAATAATAATAAAAAGAAAATCTGTTGAAATGTATACTGTAAACATGACCTCAATAAGATCACAACAGACAGTAATTGCACTTAAAAACAAATGAAACCAAGAACTGATGTCTAATCCATGACATCTAATCCAAGATATGTTTGGGTTTGTGATGAACTAAGCCGTTCTAGAGGATATTTATCCCTTGGTGCTTTCTAATGAGCTCACAAGGATTTGATGGCTGGGTGGCAAAGCAGCTTTCTAACAGGCTTTGGGATTTCTTGCCTTTGAGGTATCCTTTCAGTCAAATTTCAAATGGATCCAAAGCAACCCATTCACCGGCTGGCAGTTTAGCACCTTGTGAAATGCTACAAGCTCACACTCTTTGCCCAACACTTGGGCTGCTGCCATGCTGCAAATCAATCAATCAATCAATCAATCAATCAATACATTTATTTATTTACATCCCACTTTCCCCGCACAACTGGGACACAAAGCGGCTTACAAATTAAAAATCAATACAATTCAAAACCTACAAAAGTGGGCATTACAATAGGATTAAACTAGTACAGTATTAAAACACACCACTCATTAAAAAATAAAATGCAATTTAACAGGTAGCAGTAACAATGGCTCAATGCAGTGGAATCCCGGAATTTGTAGTTTGGTGAGACATTTAGCCTTCTCTCAGAGAGCTCTGGTGCCACAACGAACTATAAGTCCCAAGATTCCATAGCATTGAGCCATGGCAGTTAAAGCAGTGTCACACTTTAATCTGTTACTTTAATCTATTTCAGATTTCGGATTTATGTTTTTTGGATTTTGGAATACAGTACCTGCATTTGCGTATATGTACATATTGAGATATCTGGGAGATGAGACTCAAGTATGACACAAAAATCATTTATTTTTCATATACACCTTTGGCATAATGATTTGAGTGTTGGACTGCGACTCTGGAGGCCAGGGTTAAATTCCCAGCTTGGCTATGAAATCGGGTGACCTTGGGCAAGTCACACTCTCTCAGCCTCAGGGGAAGGTAATGGCAAATCTCTTCTGAACAAATCTTGTCAAAAACAATCCTGTGATAGTTTCACCTTCAGGTCTCCATAAATCGGAAATGACTTGAAGGCACACATCAATGACAACACACACCTTATACATATAGCCTGAAGGTAATATACATATATACATAAAGTCTTATACATATAGCCTGAAGGTAAACGCTGGCTCTTTGGCTTAGTAACGGAGATGAGCACCTTCCCCTATGGTTGGACATGACTTGACAACCTTGTCAATGGGGAATACTTTTACCTTTACCTTTTTAATTATATAAAATATTTTAAAAATAATTTTATCCATGAAACAAAGTTTGTGTGCATTGAACCATCAGAAGACATGTTCGCCACCCATGAAAAAAGTTTTGGCTTTTGCAGTGTTTCAGATGTTGGAATTCCAGGTAAAGGAGACTCAGCCTGTCCTACTAAATGGTTTATACCCTATCTTTCCCCCAAGACTTTGACCTAAATGGCTTGGGGCCAGGATATCTGAAAGACTGCCTCCTCCCATATGGTCCTGTCTGAAATATGAGAGCCTCCAAAGAGACCCGGTTGTATTTCCCAAGTTATAACAGTGGAACTCCCTGCCCAAGGAAGTTAGGCTGGCTCCATCTCTTTTGAGCTTCCAGCAGGCAACCAAAACAGGGCTGTACCTCTTGGCCTTTAATGTTTGCAATTGCTTTGTTTAAACTGTTCTAATGTTGCATTCCCAATTTATGGCAACCTTAAGGTGAACCTATCATGGGGTTTTCTTGGCAAGATTTATTCAGAAACGGTTTGCTTTTGCCTTCATAGAATCATAGCGTTGGAAGAGAGACCCCAAGGGCCATCCAGTCCAACCCCATTCTGTCATGCAGGAACTCAAAATCAAAGCATCCCCAACAGATGGCCATCCAGCCTCTGTTTAAAGACCTTCCTCTGAGGCTGAGAGAATGTGATGTGCCCATGGTCACATAGTGGGTTTCCATGGCTGAGCAGGGTTTTGAACCCTGGTCTCCAGAGATGTAGTCCAGCGCTCAAACCACTACACCGCGCTGGCTCTCAGCATAGGTATCTCAGTATTTGTGTAAAAAGATGTGAAAGAATGCCCCAGAGATAGGGCAAAATTGCTCAACAAGAGCCAGATAAATACTGGAGAACAGCTGCCAGTCTGCACAGATTATACAGGGCAAAAATAGACTCTTTGTCCATCTCCATACAAGGAAACTTCTTATATTCTTATCAGAATTGGCTATAACAGTGCCACCAAATGCAGAACATGCACACTCTCTGTTCCGGCATGCTAGGCATCTAGGCTTCAAAAACACTAGGAAAAAGACTACAGAACATACTTGGACTTGGGCACCTCTGGCCAAATTCCTGGCTTACATACCCATGGGTGGTCAAGAGCCTTCTCATCGGTAGCATTTCTCTTCAGTTTGTTCCAGAGCTTGGCAAAGTCACTTTTTTAGACATCAGTGCCCAGAATCCCCAGCCAGTATCGCCCACTGCTAGGTGGATATTCTGGGGGCTCAAATCAAAAAGGTAAGTTTGTCACTTTTCAGTTTTTGCCCCGAATCTGTCAGTTTCCAACCACAAATAAGTGGAAATTTTGTTTACACATTGGGAAGGATGGGGAATAATTTTTTTTTGGTTTTGGGTGTTTTTTTTTTTTTTGGCAAGTGTCTTGAAAAATTCTGCCCTGCTCTTCATATTTGGGACAAATGTTCCCATCCTGACACAGAGACTTAAAAGGTACATCTCCTGCCAAGCACAGCGGGAACAACAATGGGGGAAATTCTTACCGAATTGCTCCTAAGCCATGGGAGAATATGATCACCGGATATTTGTGGCTATTCGGTCGAAAAGGAGCATCCCAGCTCACAGGTATTCTGCATGATCCTGTAGAAATGAAGCAATATATGAGAGTAGAAATAAGGGTAGCTAACTAATAAAACCAGCATGGCATAGTGTTTGAACATCAGACTATTGATTCCCCGGATGGCCACAGAAACCCACTGGGAGATTTTGGGTAAGTCACACACTCTCAGCCTCAGAAAACCCTCGTGATAGGTTTGCCTTTGTTGTCGTCATGTGCCTTCATGGTGATCCTACGGCAAACTTCTTGTTGTTGTGTGTCTTCAAATCATTTCTGACTTATGGTGACTCTAAGTATCATGGGTTTTTCTTGGCAAGATTTGTTCAGAGGAAGTTTGTCATTGCCTTCCCTTAAGGCTGAGAGAGTGCGACTTGCCCAAGGTTGCCATAAGTCTGAAATGACCGGAAGACACACCACTACAACAACAAACTAATAAATGCAGATTGTTGATGCTAGGGAGCTGCACTGACCCTCAGGGGACTTTGCGGGAACTGCAAATCCTGACACCTCTACAGTTGTTCTTGAATCCTGTTTTTCCCCATGGCCTCCCCAATGTTCCCAGGACAGGACAAACTTCTAGAAAAGGCCATTCTTTTCCCCAAAAAGAAAGCAACTTAAAAATCTGTTAATGTCCCATTCATGCTTCAAATCCCTTTCCAAATTATGAGAATGCTACAATATCCCAAAAAGATGCACACTCTTATTTGTCCTTGGTGGTTTTTTTTAAAACCTGGAAGCCTTTCAGACTCAGAAAGCTTGGTACTTTTGCATATCCTCTTTGCGGCATGCGTTGTAAGGCTCACTTTTGTTCCTTGAGCAGGTTTCTAGTCCTTAAGGTTACAGCTAGGGGTAGAAATTGCTGTTGGAAAATGTGTCATGGGGTACCTACATAATGCAAGAGAACTCCTGCAGGGAGAGCAACCGTCTTACCAAACGTCACGCTGAGAAGTGGCGCGCACCATTTTCTATTCATGTTCATGTAGTCAGCCAGGCCACAGTAGTATTCGTAGCGGGGGATCCAGGCAGGCTGCTCAGCTCCATCTTGCGGGATGCAAGGGTAGAATAAACGGAAGAAGAGGCCCTGCAGAAAAGAAGAGGAGTGGGCATCACAAGTACCCCACACTTCCCTCCAAAGACCCCTTGCTTTTTCTTATTTCCTGCCTTTTAAGCTTGGAACGGCCCGCCAGAATATCTGCATGATGCCACAGTTCTTTTGGCAGAACCTCCTTGCTTCTATTGAGCCATAAGGTGTAAGAGCACAGTTCCCAGTATCCTGCCCATGGAGAGAATCCAGGAAAGACATTTTTCCAAGCTTAAGCACATGTGATGATAGAAACTACATGCTGCTTCCCAGTTTATCTCTTGCTTTCTCTTCCTTCCCCTTCTGTGCTGTGGACTTTTAGATTGTAAGGTCCCTTGGGCAGGGACCTATTTTCCTGTACTCTGCAAACAGTCACACACTGTGCAGAGGAATGACAGAAGCCACAAGGACCACTGGGTCTGGTTCCAGACATTTTGCTCGCTGAGCTTCAGCTACAGTAAGACATTGGTAAGGCAACCTGGTATGCTTTGGATGACATAGATAACAACTCCCAGGATCCTTGACCATGCCAACTTGAGACTATGGGAATTGCAGCCCGAGGCATCTGACAGGCACCAGGTTGCCTGTGAGAGGGTATGGAGTGATGCCAAAATTTTCAGGGAGCTGTGCCAGAAGTTTCAGTGTAATAATAATAATAATAATAATAATTTTTATTTATATTTCCCACCTCTCCCTGCGGATCGAAGTGGGATTACATCAATAAAATATATGCAATATACAAAATACTAGTACAAAATATCCACAGTAAAATAACAAAAATTATTATAATAATACAATAAAATAGCTAAACTTCAACACACCAATAAAATCAAAAACATCAATAGGATAACAACATTATAATAATACTGTAAAATAGCTGATCGTAAGGAATTTGAAGGAATTTAGCAAGGAATTTGAAGGACGTATTGAAATACGCCTAGTGGTCATCTAGCTCAACCCACTGCCAATGCCAGATATCCAAACATACAGCACTTTTAAGGTACAACTATCCATTCTCTGCTGAAAAGCCTCTAAGGCAGTGGTTCTCAACCTTTGTTCTTTCAAATATTTGGGACTTCAGCTTCCAGAATTCCTGAGTATTGGCCATCCTGGCTGGAATCACTGAGAGTTAAAGTCCAAAACATCTGGAGGACCAAAGGTGGAGCTCAAAGATAAGATTGTGGAACTGTATCAGTCCAGATGTGTGAGCTACTTCTCCCAGTATCCCTCATGCTGGGACTTGGAGTCCAACAACATCTGGAGCTCCACAGGTCCTGTTCTAAGGAGAACCCACTAACCTGTTCCACTGCTTACAAGGCAGTTTCTTCTCATGTTTAGCCAAAATTTCCCTTAAAAGAAGGGCGAGGCAATGGTAAACCCATTTCTTCCACCTTTCCGTGGAACCCAGCCCTCTAAAAATCTGATACAATCCAAGAGGAGGGTTGGAGGCTTATTTCCCAAGTGAAAGGAGCCCCACACAGCTTCTTTGAAATGGAGGAAGTTGGCATTGTCTGTCCTACATCACATGTGTTTTGCTCTTAGGTTTGTTGGCACAGGAGCTAAAAAAGGGAAGCATCTTGTGGCTCACAACAAATTTTTGAGTCATGTGGTAGCCTATGCTTCTTTGTGTCGGGTATGGAATTAATGTTTAATTATTGCTCATGCGCCAGGATAGGACATTCTCCTCTCTGCCAAGTTATGTTCCAGAACAGAAGCCAAGCAGAGCCAGACCTAGAGTTTATGCCAAGGGTGAAAACTGGGTTGGATTGCAGGTCCCAGCAGCATTAGCCAACAGAGCCACTGGACAAGGATGCTGGGATTTGCAGTTCGGCACCATCTGGATGGCCACTTGATTCCCACTTTGATCCCGCAACATTGTCACATAAGCAGCTGTAATCCACATCCCTAAATTTTAGCCATTGCCATAAGTAGTTTGTTTGTTGTTGTTTTTCATGGCCAGTAAACTTTTATCATAGGGATACTTTGCAATGTAAAGTGTCCCATACTGGTTTTGTGGGCAAACAACCATACAGCAAAGGAGATGCAACATGCTCTGGATTTTAGTAGATTGGCCCCATTCAGGAAAAATTGAGATTCCCCCCCCCCAAAAAAAAGTAGGGGAACACTCAAATTATAGCTGAGATCAAGAAATACAAAGGGAAGAAAGTACAGTCGACCCTCCACATTTATGGCTTTGACTTTGTTGATTGGATTATTCACAGATTTGAATTAATATGTTCTCTGTAGGAATCTCTAGGTCCTTCAGTGCAGCTATATGGTCAACCTCTACCAGAA